ATTTATATAGCGCTTCTCATCTGCCGAGACAAATCTCGAAGTGCTTCACAACAAAGGATATTGATACACTTTGAGAGATTAAACAAATAATTGTAATAATAATAAGAAATAAAAAAATAAATAAAAAATAGCGTACAAAAGTAAAAGTCGGAGATAGCGATAAAAATGGCAATACTCCAGGTGTACCATGCTCAAAGTTTATTGGAAGGCCTGCCGAAAGAAGAGGGTCTTAAGGCCGGTTTTGAAGACCTCGGTGGAAGGGGCAGATCTCAGCTGATCTGGGAGGGAGTTCCAGAGGCGCGGGGCGAATGAGCAGAAGGCTCGGTCTCCCATTGTTCGGAGACGTGTGCGGGGGATGTGAAGAAGAGGAGCGTGGCTGGAGCGGAGAGAGCGGGTAGATGTCTGGGTATGGATGAGGTCACAGAGGTATTTTGGGCTTTGTCCATTCCGGGCTTTGTACGTGAGGAGCAGAACCTTAAACTGGATCCTGTAGTGGACTGGGAGCCAGTGTAGTTTTGCAAGTATGGGGGTTATGTGTGCGGACCTTTTTGTACCGGTGAGAACTCTGGCTGTGCTGTTCTGGACAAGTTGCAAGCGGTTGATGGATTTGGCTGGGAGACCGGAGAGGAGTGCATTGCAATAGTCTAGTCTTGAGAAGACGAGTGCATGAACCAGTTTTTTGATGTCATCAGTTGAGAGAGAGGGCTTCAGTCGGGAAATGTTTTTCAGGTGAAAGAAGGAGGTCTTGGTGATGTGTTTGATGTGGGCTTGGAAAGACAGAGTGGGGTCAAACCTTACACCGAGGTTGGTGACAACGGAGGAGAGAGGAATGAGCTGACCATCAAGGGAGGGGCTGATGTTGGCGACCTTGGCAAGCTGGTCAGTGGTGCCTATCAGGATTGCCTCCGTCTTGCTGCTGTTGAACTGAAGGTAGTTGGTGGTCATCCAGGAGCGGATGTCTTCCAGGCAGGTGTTTAGTGTTTGGATAGTGGTGGTATTGGGTTGTGTTTTGATGTAGACCTGAGTGTCGTCGGCATAGCAGTGGAAGTTGATGTTATGTTGTCTGATGATATGACCCAGAGGTAATAGATAGATTAAAAACAGGATCGGCCCCAGCACTAAGCCCTGTGGGACCCCGCATGTCACTGCGGTGTCGAATACACGTTGTTTAACCCTAACTGATGCAGTTAGTCACTTCTTTAATGTTTGTTCTTTCTGATGTAAAGTCAAGGTTGTAACTGTTTGCAGTAAAGTCGTGGGGTGCTGAACAGGTTCCTTTGAATCTTTTGAATTTTGATACATGATATAATTACTTGTCTTTCAAATTTGAAGGAGGGTGAGAAAGCATCTTGAGGAACATTCATCATTAACTCCTCCAAAAAATATAGTTTATTCAATAATAAATCAATATGTGAATCATAACAGTGATTGACAGCTGATAGGAATAATATGATTGTTAATATTATCATATTCATTCAGACAAACATCGACGAGACAGTTAATTAATGTACTTATTGCAGCAGTCTTCATAGACGTGGTACCACTGCTGGTCTAAGAGTGAAACCAACTCATTCAGTTATTGTTCAGCTAAAATTCATTCAATTATGTCTGCCACCTTATATATTTATATTTAAGGCTTTACTGATGTGCCACAATAATGTCACCTAATGTTATTGAGTTAAATATTAATATTGTGGCTTTCCAAGTTAACATTGATTGATATGACTTCGATTAAATCAGCATATACTTCTGCCAGGGGATGCCACCCCTCAAAATCTCCTGCCACCCTCTGGCCACCCCATGACTATTTTTCTAGATCCGCCCCTGCGTGAGACTGGGTTGGATGGAATCAATACATGGGCTGCACAGGTTGTCATTTCCGACTAGCACACAGACTGAGGCTCGGTGCGTCCCCCACGGAATGGCTGAGGACGTCACTCGCCATTCCCACATCGTCTTGGCACTGGAAGACAGCAGGCCTTCCGACTACACGGAGACGATACACGACCTGCTAGGTATGGGAGAACCCGAATTCTACCTGATGGGGCTGTTTCTTCGGGACGTGCGGCTGCACATCCAGGCTGCGCTAGCTAATGACAACTAGCAGCTAACCACGATAGCTAACGACGGCTAGCAGCTACCGATGGCTGCGAGCTAGTGGCTAACGGCTAGCTGCTAACGGCTATCGACATCCATCGGTTGACATCCGACTGTTAACCCCTTTTTTTGTGGTGCCGGAGAGGAGGTTCGACCTAGTCTGGTTGGCCTCGTGTGGATCCTCTCACAATTTCGCCCACCTGTTGTTTTTTTTTTACCGTGGACCATACTTGCCAACCTTGAGACCTCAGAAATCGGGAGCATTTCAAAACCACCGCGGGGGGGGCTAGTGGATCGCCGGAGCTGTATTAGCTTAACATTAACATGCTTATTGTAGTTGTTAGTGCACTGTCTTGCGTCCTGTAGTATGGAAAGGAGTGAGCAGAGGGTAGAGTTGTCGATTCTTGTTCAGTTTACTGTGACTCTCTTCCTCACCCTCTCAGACTGTCAGTTGCGCGCACTACTAAAGAGACGCGCTACCATGGAAACCAAACAATGGTGTAACTGTATTAAAGTCAGAGTGGAAACAGTCGTGAGTAAATCTGATTTAGTCAGATATCGGGAGAAATATGACCCCGGGAGGAAACCGGGAGAGGGCAATGAAATCGGGAGTCTCCCGCGAAAATCGGGAGGGTTGGCAAGTATGAGTGCGACCCTTTTGAGCTTTTCCCTGGTGCTGGAGAGGAGGTTCGACCATGTCTGGTCGGCCTCGTGTGGACCCTCTCGCCTTTTCACCACCTCGACGGCGGCTTAGGACGTTGCCCATGCCTTCATCGGCCCATGGGTGGCGCGCTTCGGGACCCTGTCTGGCCTCTTCCCTCGCCTCGGCAGTTTCGGACATCGCCCATGCCTTCATCGGCCCGTGGGTGGCGCGCTTCGGGACCCTGCCTGGCCTCTCCTCTTACCGTGGCTCACGGTTCGCCTCGATGGCGGCTTCGGACGGCGCCCCGTCTGGCCCCGTCTGCCCTCTCCCCTGTCCACGGCTCCTTCCTCCCGGGGATGCTGCTCCTGCACCCCGGGGACACGGCTCCTTCCTCCCGGGGATGCTGCTCCTGCCCCCCAGGGACACGGCTCTTTCCTCCCGAGGACTTCGTGCCTGCCGCCGCTGTGCCCTTGCCTGCGGCCGGGCAGTGCTCCTTCCTGCTGGGGACCACCGGGTTATTCACGCCCGTCGCGGCCCAGCTTTCTCCGACTGGCGGGTGAGTTATTCGTTCGCCACGAGGCCTACTGCGGCCCCCTTACGACGGCCCTTTCCGGCCCGCGCCCTCGTTAGGGCCCCTACCCTCTCCTGCGGCCCCCTTCCAACGGCCCGTTCCATGGCCCGGCCCTCACCTGCAACCCCGCCCTCCTCGGCCCCTGTGGTGCTTCCTCCCAGACGCGAGGATGGTTGAATTCTGCGAGGGCTTGTGTGGTGATCACTAATTTACTCTATGTACATAATTCACTCATGGAACTACGGGTTGGGGGTATTGTTTCCGCACGGACATATGTGTTGCCAACTATATATATTGTGTGCCCTCCTGGTCTCTTTCTCTTGTCGTCCCAGGCTGCAACCCGACAACAGCTACATTTCTGCTGCTCATTAAAGCCAGCTTTGTACCTCCATTGCACCGCCTCCGACTCCCTATCTCTCGGCACTACAAACACACCAATTATTTTGCATTTGAATACTTCAAATATTTTTCTATTAATATTTTCTATGGGAAAATTAGCATATTTCTTCAATAACTTCCAGGTCACCTAATCACTTCAAAATCAGATATAGATCAAATAACTACACTGGGTGAATAGGACACACCTCTTTTTATTGCATTGTAATACTCTAAATATTTTTATATTAATATTTTTATGGGAAAATGCGTGTGAATTCTGTAAACTGTACATTTGTTGCTGAATTTAGCTGAAAATGCTGAAAAGCTGAATATTTTATGAATGGTCTCTGTACTGTAGCTGCTTTTAGTTACAGAAACCAAGTAAGTGTGTTGTTGAACTTAGCGGAGAAATGAAGAAAAGTGAAATGATTTGAATCAAAATTGTTACAGCTCAAATGCATTGCAATTACTTTTAAGGCATTTTCTTTAATTTTTTTGCTTTATTTTATTTTATTTTTCAACGTAAGAGAGGTTTTCCATCGTTTTTCATGAACAATAATGTCCAAGGAGTGTAGGGTTTGGGAGTTATGGCAGGTTGAAGAAAAAGGTTGAAGGCAAATTTCAAGCTCTCCTCCACTCTAGCTGTGACATCACGCACTCTAGCCCTTAACAAGCTGTGCCATAGAGTGGTGCAGTGACGCATCCTAAAACCCGGAAGTGAGTTAGCATTTTACCACTACCGGTTCCCTCGTCTCAGTCAATGGGATTTCTCCATAGGGTTTTGTAAAATAGCTCGAAATGCAAAAATGATGAATTCAACTAGCAATAACAGTAGTTTGAAAACAACATAATAGTCGCTAGCTATGGTTAGCCAACCTAACCAAAGTCTTAAGTTTAGTACAGGTAGTTTCCTGTTTAACGCTACAATATCACGTTTTTACGTCACTGCTTAGTGTCGGGTTTCCAGACATCACGGAATTTTTTTTGGCAGTCAGGGATTACGAGGCGTTGTCTTGAATCCTAAATCCTGCCCTGTTTGTCCAGAACACTTGACTAGAGTCACTAGACCATTAGTTATAGCATATTAAAACATGAATATCAATATTTGTGAACCATTTTCTTTTGCACACAGAAAGGCCCTTTATGTCCATAGCTTACATTAATTAAGCTTTGATCGAATTAACATGGAGCATTGTCGTACTACTTCAACAATAGCCAAGCCCTGGCTGAATATATCAGTCATTTGTTTTGTTTTAACCTGTCATACTTTTTCAGGAAACAGATAATCAAATATTTCCTTTTTGTCCTCAGAGTGTAGACATGTCTGCTGCCAGCTGTCTGCTGACTGAACATCAGTTTCTGTGCTCCATCTGTCTGGATGTGTTCACTGATCCAGTCAGCACACCATGTGGACACAACTTCTGTAAAGCCTGCATCTCTCAACACTGGGATACTAAAGTCCCCTATCAGTGTCCCAACTGTAAAAAGTTATTCCACACAAGACCTGAAATGCTGGTCAACACTTTCATCTCTGAGATGGCTGCTCAGTTCAGACAGTCAGCTCAACAGAAAGCCAGCAGCAGCAGCTCAGAACAACACGTTGTCAAACCAGGAGAAGTTCCCTGTGACGCCTGCACTGGAACCAGACTGAAGGCCCTGAAGTCCTGCCTGGTGTGTCTGGAGTCCTACTGTGAGACTCACCTGGAGCCTCACCTGACAAAGAAAGGCTTAAAAAGACATCAGCTGATCGACCCTGTGGAGAACCTGGAAGGCAGGATGTGTGTGAAGCACGATAAACTGCTGGGGCTGTTCTGTAAGACCGACCAGGTGTGTGTCTGCATGCTCTGCACTGTTTTAGACCACAAGACACATGATGTTGTTCCTCTGAAAGAAGGATATGAAGGAAAGAAGGCTGAGCTGGGGAAGACAGAGGCTGAAATTCAGCAGATGATCCAGAAGAGACGACTGAAGATTCAGGAGATGAATGGCTCAGTGGAGCTCAGTAAGGAAGGAGCAGACAGAGAGATAGCAGATGGTGTTCAGGTCTTCACCGCTCTGAAGGAGTCTGTTGAGAGAAGCCAGGCCGAGCTCATCGACACCATCAAAGAGAAGCAGAGAGAGACAGAGGAACAGGCTGAAGGCTTCATCAAACAGCTGGAACAGGAAGTCTCTGAGCTGCAGAAGAGAAGCTCTGAGGTGGAGCAGCTCTCACGCTCTGAAGACCAGCTCCACCTCCTCCAAAGCTTCACGTCCCTGAACGCTGCTCCACCCACCAAGAACTGGACAGAAGTCAGGGTCCGTCCACCTTCATATGAGGGGACTGTGAGGAGAGCTTTGATTAAAGTGCAGGAGACACTCAGTCAGCTGCTCGCTGAGGTGGAGCTGAAGAGGGTCCAGCAGTATGAGGTGGAGCTGACTCTTGATTCTGATACAGCACATCCCGAACTCATCCTGTCTGATGATGGAAAACAAGTTAAACATAGTGGAGAGAGAAAAGTAAAGAAAGTAAAAATGCCTCTTAAATGCAATCTGCAGAGCTTTAATGTTTGTAAATCTGTGTTAGCAAAGCAGAGTTTCTCTTCACGAAGATTTTACTACGAGGTTCAGGTTAAAGGTGGGACTGACTGCAATCTAGGAGTGGCCAGAGAGTCGATCAAGAGGAAGGGAAACATCACACTGACCCCTGGGAACGGTTTCTGGACCATAGGTTTGAGGGCTGGCAACAAGTTCTACGCTTGCGCTGACCCTGATATCCGTCTCTCTCTGAAGTCTCAGCCTGAGAAGGTGGGGGTGTTTGTGGATTATGAGGAGGGTCTGATCTCCTTTTATGATGTTGATGCCGCAGCTCTGATCTACTCCTTCACTGGCTGCTGCTTCAAAGAGAAACTCTACCCATGCTTCAGTATTCCAGAAAATCTCGTTGGCCTGTTCTCCTTATCTAATATAAATATTGACCCTCTGATCATCACTCCTGTCGATCACACGTAAAAATGTGGATTTTCCACAGAGGGATTCATTATTATTTAATATAATACATATATATATATATATATATATATATATATATATATATATATATATTAGGGCTGTCAAACGATTACAATTTTTAATCAGATTAATCACAGCTTAAAAATTAATTAATCATGATTAATCACCATTCGAACTATTTTCCAAAATATGCCATTTATTTATGTATATTGTTGGGAATGGAAAGATAAATGAAAGAAGGCGGATATATCCATTTAACATACAGTATCTATGTTTATTATAACATTTTCTGCGTGTCAAAATGAAAGACAGCCCACACACTAGAGATGTTAAGATTCACCGATTCGCATCGGTGCACCGGCATAAACGTTCAAGATGCGAGTGCACCGGTTGAAAGAGTGCACATCGGCTACAGTTTGGGTTGAACCGGGTTGAACTCGCGATGCATCGATTGCGTAGCGTCTTTGCATCGGTAAAAAACCGATTCATTCATATAAAATCCCCTAATCTTGTCAACGCTCAGCAGATACGATCTTTGATATCTTCGCCACTACGGAGGCCGTGAGTCTCAGTTATCAACACACACGGAAGTCGAGGAGAAAGAGAAACACAGCGCACCGAAAAATACCTACAAATCAAACGTTTGGCAACACTTCGGATTGTTCAAGAAAGACGGTGTAATAGTCCTTTATGCTAGGCTATATAGTTGACCGCAGGTCATGGAGAGTAATAAGGTATCCGTAGACCTTTGTATGAGGTATCTTTATTACTTAACAGGTCTACAGCCATGATACATAGATCCGTCCTAGATGCGGGCTTGCATACACACAGTATCACTCCGCAGCCGCACCCCATCAGTAACGTCCTGATGGTATATGTGCGCGGCACAGACGGTCAACTTGAAAAATCGCTCGCAAATTGTTAACGATGCCGAGCCGATTTAAAGTACACAAGTAGTACGAGGAACTTAGCGACGCACATAAAGAGGCGACATGGGGTCTGCGGCTGAAAAGAGAAACCTCAAAGTTAGACATATGAGTTAAATCACTCAGTGAGGTGTTCTGTCAGAGAGAGTGGTGTTTAGTTTACAGCAGCCTGTGACGGCCAATAATAATTTAAATGTATTCCTCACTGTAAGCAGTTATGAAATACCTGTTTGTGAAAGGTTATTTGTGTTCTTTATTGTTCATATAGAACCCACTGCTTTCTGCTCACTGGTGAGTTAGCCTATGAATGAGTGTTAAGCACATCAGGCTGGCAGCTGTATGGGCATTGCTCTATGGTAGCTGTTATTTGCACATTGTTAATCATGAGCAATGCATCCTTACATTGTTTAACTGTGAGGTGTTATACAATTGTACTCTGGAGAGCTTTTAAAGGTAAAAAAATAAACGGCATGATGGGATGTGCAGTACCAAATATGTAAAGCACTTTTTTGTTAATGTATGATTTGCTGCATATAAGGAATAAAACAAAAATCCTCTGTCGTACCAAATTGAAGTATCATTATTTTTGCATCGTGTTGAATCGCACCGAATCGCATAATGTTGAATCAAATCGTATCGAACTGTATCGCAACAGGGGTGAATCGTATCGTATCGCATCGCCTGGTGTTTCAAATGTATCGTTAATGTATCGTATCGTGGCAACGTATCGAGATGTGCATCGCATCGGCCTCAGTGATGGAGATGCACATCCCTACCACACACCTATCAATCATCAAACCGTGGGGTCTTAATTAATTACGTGTTGTTTTCTATCAACGGGGGAGTACTTCAGGAAAGTCGATAGAGGGGGGGGGCGGCGGCTCGTGGAGTACTTCTTGACCACAGAGTGTGAACGTTGTGATCAGCTGTTTTAGCGCAGTTCTCCAGTGAAGGGGGGGGGGAGTCTCCCTCCGCAGCCGGTTGGCGTAGTTTTGGCACAATTCCGTTGTACAGACCGACGTTAACAGCAGCCCTGTCTGTGCACACGGAGACCGACTCTGTCGTCCGGTGATCTAACCGCCTTCTGGAAAAGTACGTCGATACGCAAATGCGCTTTGTGACACAAGTGACGGTACGCATTTCAGATTACGCACATAACCTGCGTACCAGTTATGTGCACCCCTGTACTACAGCAAAAGTATTCTCCGTCGGGACTTCCTGCAACAACACCATGCCGTTATCAAAGATGTTCTATTGAGAAGACGATCACTACGTGACAAAAGTTTTCAAAACCGTGGCTGCTGAAATCAATCTTACTAACTGCTGTCTGTGCAATTTACTCCGCGCGAGTTGGCAGACTTTATTTTGCTTACTTTAACATCATTTTTCATGGTGGGGCTCAGCCATTTCTTGGTATGGGTGTAGCCTACCCCAGCCATACCCTGGCGCTGCCACTGGTGGCACGTATACTATGGGGCGGGCCATTCTGCACATGCGTTAAATGCGTTAAATATTTTAACGCAATTAATTCAAAAAATGAATTACCGCCGTTAACGCGATCATTTTGACAGCACTAATATATATATATATATGGTTGAGATCTCCATATCAGGATGAATAATTAAAACGAAAGTTAGTTATAATCAAATATAGTCAATTATATTCTTGTATAACCCACAATGACAATGTTTCATATGTTGTGTTTTTCTATATTTACAGTATAAACAAAGTGGTTTGTTAAAGGCCTATAATGGTTTATGGGTGTCACTGATAAGGGAGAAGGCAGTTTCTTCCCTCTCTCCCTCACAGCAGTACACAGGGAGGGGGGCTCCTGACGTAAGGAGAAAAAGACAGAGGCCCCAAAAAGATCGTTATGTCATAGCCGAGAATAATATTTTGCAAGTCCTGCACACTCAAGGTCATGACCTTTTGTTACATAAGCCTGGGAAGGTGTGTCTTATGCCATAGCCATAGAATATGTCTGGTCATGTTCAGTCCTGTACATCAGAGCCATGCCCAGTTTCCACAAATATGGGTATAGAGGAGGGGTCTTTAGGTTTTTATATCCTGTTGTTGAGCATAAAGACACTGGCGGAGAGGGATAAAAAAGAGAGAGTGAGAGAGTGGGGGGGGGGGGGGGGTTCCCCTGGTATACTCTCTCCCGGTAAAAGCTCTCTCCCTCAGAGCTGGGTTTTTGCTCTCGGTAAGGTTCTCTCAGACTTGGTATTTATTGCTTAAATCTCTGTGTATTGAATGCTGAGGGAATGGTTTAGAGATGAAAGTTTTGAATGGAATTCTTAAACCAATCATTCTTAAAATGTGTTGGAATTCTTAAACCAATCATTCTTAAAATGTGTTGGAATTCTTAAACCAATCATTCTTAAAATGTGTTAGAATTCTTAAACCAATCATTCTTAAAATGTGTTGGAATTCTTAAGCCTACCATTCTTAAATGTGTCGGGATTTTAGAACTAATTAGAGAACCTTCGCCACCACGAGGAAATTCTTTTTGGATTTTGTCGGAAGACTTTAATGTGTGAACTATGAATTAAGGTTTTATATTAGAAAATAACCCCAGCATGATATGTTTAGTATGATTATAATGTTGTAAAGAGAGAAGGTAAAAACCCTGTATAAGTGTGGACCTATTTTTCTTCAAATAAACTGATCCCACCTTTTGGACTGGGACAACTTAAAGGACATCTGTGCTCTCCTCTCCTGCTTCAAAGGTAAGATTGCACCCTGCCACACTCACACTTAGGTAGGGCCACATTTACTGATATCAAAATCCTTCAGGATCGCTTCAACAGATTAAGAGAGTTGTCTGAATTGAAACAGCAGTTAATTGAACCTGGTTCTTCGGGAGTTAATAGAGGTGAGATCTTGCTGACGTTGGTGGATCTGAGCCAAGCAGTAAACTTACATAGACTCAATAACTTCGGTTAGGTCAATTAGTAGGTCTGAGTAATTTACCGGAATAAATTATCAGCTCCTCCCGACTCTTACAATATATATATATATATATATATATATATATATATATATATATATATATATATATATATATATACTGGTGCAGGGACGTGCACAGACATTTGGAGGGGCTATTGCTCTAAACTGGAAAAAAACCACAAGACCTTTTGAAAATTGTAACTTGTTAATGTAAAAGAAACCAAACGATTATTACATCAACTAAATTGAACAGTAATTCACATCTCATAACAAAATAAGCTAAGGCGACTACTTGCATTCGGTGACTTGATTTAAAAAAAGGAAAACCAGGGACATTTTTAGTTTTGCGGTCCATATCTCATTAAAACATCTAATGTTAGTAACTATTAAAGACAAAATGGGGAAAATTCTGTTCTAATGTAGTTTGACCATTGTAACTGCTGCAGTCCAGACATACTGATAAAATAGGGCTTCTAACTTAAATAAACTCACTAATTAATTAAACCAGTTCAATACGCATTGTTCTTATTCCCATCATTCTTTATGAGCGCAGTAATGGTAAGGTATCTAATTACTTATTTATTTAGTATTCCATAACTTAATAACAGAGATGGTCAAACTGAAGTGGTAGAGACATGGCACAATTCCTACAATGAAGCGGGACATTGAACTGTTCACCCGTGAGAGGGCGATCAAGAGAAGAGAGCGAGCGGCCCTGTTGAGGGAGTTTACAGATGAAAAGATTCTTAAACACACAGTGACGTCACGAGCTACCCACAATGCAACGCGCGCCATATATATATAAATACGCCATTTTCCTGGAGGTGCAAATATCCTGGAGGTGCAAATATAAACAGCTAGCTAACGTAGCCAGGCAGAGCGCACTAGGTTTTTTTTCTGAATTAACGACCGAAGAAATCGCTGCATGTCTTCGGATTACATCTCTGGACTTGAGGGGTGTGCTCTAGGTCGTTACCAGCGTAAACTAGAGCTGTGTGGGTTGTCGGATTGCCCTTACAGACTGCCTGCAGATGTATGGAAAAACGACCCTCGAAAGTGGCCTTCGTCGATTTTGGCAGCATCTACGTCTATCTTCTGGAAACACCAGGTGAATACCCCACTTGTCACAATAATATTATCATGCCAATGCATATATGTGGTATTTTAGAGTTGACTAGATATTGATTAAGGCAATAG